GAATAGAATTAAATGGAATTTAGAATGGAATTTAGAATGGAATGGAATGGAATGGAATGGAATGGAATAGAATAGAATAGAATACAAGTGAAGTGAAGTGAAGTTAGAATGGAACAGAATGGAATGGAATAGAATAGAATAGAATAGAAGTGAAGTGAAGTGAAGTTAGAATGGAATGGAATGGAATGGAACAGAACAGAACAGAACAGAATAGAATAGAATAGAATAGAATAGAATTTGGAATGGAATGGAATAGAATAGAATAGAATAGAGAATGGAACGGAACGGAACGGAACAGAACAGAACAGAACAGAACAGAACAGAACAGAATAGAATAGAGAATGGAATGGAATGGAATAGCATGGTATAGCATAGCATAGCATAGAATATAATAGAAAAGAAAAGAATATGGAAAGAATAGAATAGAGAATGGAATAGAATGGTGAATAGAATGGAATGGAATGGAATGGAATTGGAAGGAACCTTGGAGGTCTTCTACTCCTACCCCCTGCCTAGGCAGGAAACCCTACACTACTTCAGACAAATGGATATCCAACACCTCTTTAAAAAACCTCCAGTGTTTGAGCATTTACAACTTCTGGAGGCAAGTTGTTCCACTGATTAATTATTCTGTTAGGAAATTTCTCCCCAGTTCTAAGTTGCTTCTCTCCTTGATTAATTTCCATCCATTGCTTCTTGTTCTACCCTCAGGTGCCTTGGAGAATAGCTTGACTCCCTCTTCTTTGGGGCAGCCCCTGAGAGATTGGAAGACTGCTATCATGCCTCCCCTAGTCTTTCTTTTCATTAAGCTAGACGTACCCAGTTCCTGCAACCGTTCTTCATATGTTTTAGTCTCCAGTCTCCTAATCATCTTGGTTGCTCTTCTCTGCACTCTTTCTAGAGTCTCATGGAGGCTCAGAGCACTGACCAATCAGACTTAGTTCAGAGAAGTTTTCTGCAGAGTCCCTCATGTAGGCATTTCAAAACTAGACTTGTCTATTTCTGCAACAATAAGTGGATTTTCTATCATCTATCCAACCATCGAAGTATCATTTCCTCTAAACTTCTGTTCTGGCTCCATTTCCAGTTGGTTGCAGAAAATTGATGCCTCAACAATGTTAAAAGGCCCTGGGAGAGAGAGTGAGGCAAAGCCTCCCATTCGGAGAACTTTTGAGACATTCCCAGAATGGTCAATTTTCCAAGCAGCCAAGATTTTCTGCAAATGCATCTGCAGGTTCTGGGGAATGAAATGTTGGGGTGAGAAAGACCAAGGCTCAAACTAATTCAGGGGCTATCTCTGAAAAGAGAATCTCCAAAGCTGGTAGGAATAATGAGATGTCAGTTTTGAAGTATGAAGATCTCGATTCTTCAGAAGGCTCCTCAATCACTTTCCCATCTCTATCTCAATCTCTCCCTCCCTCCCGCTCCTTCCTTATCTTCCCCCTCCCTTCTTCCTATATTCTCTCTCTCTCCTCTCTCCCTCTCTTCTTTCTCTCCCTCCCTCCTTCTTCCTCTCTCTCTCTCCCTCCCTTCATCCTTCCTTCCTTCATCCTTCCTTCTCTTTCTCCCACTCCCTCCCTCCTTCTTCCTTTCTCTCTCCCTTCCTTCCTTGCTCCTTTTCTTTCTTTCCCTTCCTCCTGCCCACTCTCTCTCTGCCTTTCCTCCCTTCCTCCTCCTTTCTTTCTCTCCCTCTCTCCCTCCTTTCTTTCTCTCTCTCCTTCCTTCCTTCCTCCCCCTCCCTTCTCTCTCTCCCCCTCCCTTCTTCCTATATTCTCTCTCTCCCCCTCCCTTCTTCCTATATTCTTTCTCTTTTCCCTCCCTTCCTCCTTCCTCCTTTCTCTCTCTCCTCCCTCCCTTCCTCCTTCCTTCCATCTCCCTCTCTTCTCCCTCCTTCCTTCTCTATCTCTCCCCCTCCCTTCTTCCTATATTCTCTCTCTCTCCTCTCTCCCTCCTTCCTTCTTTCTCTCTCTCCCTCCTTCTTCCTCTCTCTCTCCCTTCCTTCATCCTTCCTTCCTTCATCCTTCCTCCTCTTTCTCCCACTCCCTCCCTCTTTCTTCCTCTCTCTCTCCGTTCCTCGCTCCTTTTCTCTCCCTTCCTTCCTCCTGCCCACTCTCTCTTTCCTCCCTTCCTCCCTCCCTTCCTCCTTCTTTCTTTCTCTCCCCCTCTCCCTCCCTCCCGCCTCCCTTCTCTCCTCCCTCCCTCTCCCCTGCCTTTCTCTGTCTCTTTGCAGAATACCAACAAGGTTTCCATGAAATGCTCCTTCTCTTCAGGCTGCTTGTTGAAGAGGAGCACGAGATCTATTGGCTGTTCCAGTTTTTCCTACAAAAAACGGTGAGCGGGGGTCTCTCTGCGGTTGCTGCCATTGTCCCGTGACTTCCTTTGGTTGGGTTGCCCAAGGGGGTCTTTGCATTCCCTGATCGAGTTCCCTTCCCTCCAATGTTTGGTCTTTCAGGAGAACAGCTGCATCATCAATGTTGGGGTGCAGAAGAATCTGGTCATGCTGAACGCCCTGATTACATTCATGGACCCAACCTTTGCAAAACACCTGGGTAAGTTTTGCAGCTGGACGGAGTTGGATCAGAGGTGGTTCCCTTCTCTGCCCAAGAGTGTAAAAGCCAGAAGGTGACCAGAGATTTCTGCCCACGTCCTAGGCAGAGATTTCGTTCGTTCATTTATGCACTTCCTTAGAGAATTTCTAGGGCTGCATAATCCTGAGTGGCGGAAGGGAAAGCACAAGAAAAGGAAAGAAAGGAGGGAGGGAAAGGGGAAAGAAAAGAAGGAAAGTGAAGGGGAGAGAAGGGAAGGGAGGGGAGAGGGGAAGGGAAGGGGAAAGAAGGGAAGAGAAGGGGAAGGAAGAGAAGGCAAGGGAAGGGAGGGGAGGGAAGAGAGGAAGGGAAGGGGAGAGAAGGGAAGGGAGGGGGTTCCACCACAAATGTGCGAATGACAAAAGCGCACCTGACTAAACCGCGGTGACAAAACCGCGCCGACAAAACCGCGCCGACGAATGAGCGCTGAAGCGCGCCAACAACAGCGCGCCGACAGAAGCACGCTGTAACCTAACCCTAAACCTAACCCTAACCCTAACCTAACCCTAAACCTAACCCTAAACCTAACCCTAAACCTAACCCTCAACCTAACCCTTACCTTAACTTAAATTGCGCTTCTGTCGTCCCACTTCTGTCGGCGTGCTT